CGAGGCTCTGCATCCACACGCTTTTCCTTCTCATGGGCTACGGGAGGCCGCTGGCGTGTACACGAGCTGCAAAGGTGACTGAACCATTTTGTTAAGACTGGGCTCTAATGTTTGGTAATTGTAACTGCAGATTGAAACATTTTCAGTGGTCAGAATAGTAATATAAAAGTGCTATAACAAAAAAGTTATATTGTGAATTTTAAATCCCAATCACTTCAGACATTTCAGAAGAAGGCATATTCCTTACCAATATAGGAAAACTTTTGCAGTGACTCCAAAATTTCCTTGATTTCAGGAGCCAAAATGTCTACTATGGGCGTCACCTCAGTGGCAAATGCCGAGATATCATATTTCGGGGTGACATCATAATAACTGATCTGTAATGAAGGAAAGAGACACAGGAAATGGCAGACATCCATAGACACTGTCTCTTTTATTTTTGGGAAATAAATATATGTGTAAATATATATACACACACACACATAGGTAATTCCACTTTAACAGAAGTAAATAAAAGAAACCTTTTGCTGTCATTTTGCTGAAATTATTAATCCTTTTGAATGTTGGAATTGGTCATGAGCCTTTTGAACTCTAACTGTTTGTTAATATATTATTATTTGCTCACACATACACATGTGGATGTGGCAGAATTAGTGTGGAAAGATTTGAAAGGAACATTTTGTTTGTCATGGGGCATCAAAGTAAGAAAGACTGCAAAGACCATTTTTAATACAAGTGTAATTCCATAAGGAACATGAACATATCCGGAGTTTCACATACATTCCAAAATGATTTACATACAATCTGAAAAAAAAGATTGAGAGTACCTTGTCAATGAGTTTGAGGACACAGTCCTTGGACTTTGAAAAGTCTTCTTCTGTCACACTGTCAGATACATCCAGGGCGATATAGATGTGAAGGTTTTCACCTGCATCCATTTTGATCTTCTTCCCGTGTTGAGTGTCTGTGGAATCAGGAAATTGTTGTGTGGAAAGTGTGGGATGAGGATTAGTCAATGTCACTCTTGCATTTATACTTATTTAATAGATGGTTTTGTCCAAAGTGACATAAGTAAGAATCAGAGAGCAGGGTCAGTTAGTCGGTGAAGCGATTAGGGTTAGGGGCCTCGCTCAGGGGCCCGACAGTGACATCATTAGGGGCCTCGCCCAGGGGCCCAACAGTGATATGATTAGGGGCCTCGCTCAGGGGCCTGACAGTGATATCATTAGGGGCCTCGCTCAGGGGCCCGACAGTGACGTCATTAGGGGCCTCGCTCAGGGGCCCGACAGTGACATCATTAGGGGCCTCGCTCAGGGGCCTGACAGTGATATCATTAGGGGCCTCGCTCAGGGGCCCGACAGTGACATCATTAGGGGCCTCGCTCAGGGGACCGACAGTGATATCATTAGGGGCCTTGCTCAGGGGCCCGACAGTGACATCACTCTGCCAACACTGGGATTTGAACTGCTGACCTTCTGATGACAGGCAGAGAGTCCTAAAAAGCCCAGCTACACACACTGCATATGCATGTTAAAACAGAAAACTTACCAGATGAATTAAAATGATCCGGTGAGAGGTGATTATTGAGAGCAGCGCCGAACGCAGCTTTCACTTCAGCAGGAGTATCGTAAGTATATTTATCTGTGAAAAAAAAAATATTAAAAGCAAAGTATGTGAGTGGGATGAAAACTGCCGCTCCTTAACTGCAGGCTGGGGTGTAAATGTATGGGATTAATCGCTGAGAGTGTTGGATGACGGCCTCAATTATTATTATGGGGTTCCGGCAAAGAGAAGGTGTACAGTTAGCATGTATTGGTTAGACGTCACAGGATTGGTCTGTCTTGGAAAGGTGCAGCGAAGAGCTACGAGAATTATTCCTGGTCTTAGAGGAATGTCTTATGAGGAGAGGTTAGCTGAGCTGAATCT